TGTGTGTGTGTGTGCACACGCACATGCTTTGTGCGTGGACGTCCACTCCACAGCCTTTGGCGCTTCTCACCACATACACGAAAGACAAAAACTATGCGGATGTATTTTCCCATGTGCTGGGGAAAATACATTTTCGTTTTCCACATTTTGTGAGGTGGAGCAACGCCCAACGACGGGCACTTCCGAAACTTCTGGCAGATTGTCATCATTGCAGGACCTTTCTACACGAATATTTTTTTTTTTTTTTTTTTTTTGCAGTTCTACACTGTTTTCAGAATTGCTAAGAAAAGCTTCGAAATGGTGTCACACGGGGCCACCCCCCGCCGCACCACGCCGCACCGCGCGGCACAGGTGTAGGAATCAAAACCCCGTGATAGTGGGACTTGGCCACCGGGATCTCTAGCGCGGCAACGAAACTTGGGCCCCGCCAATATATTTTCGCTTTGAAACTACCGCGACGTGCTATTTTTGAAACTTACCCTTTTTTGGAAACTTACGCTTAATAGATTGTCCTTCGGGACATCCTTCAAAAAGGATTGGGACGATACAGAGAAAGGTAAATTAGCAAATGCCCCGTGCGCAAGGACGACCCTCATAAATCGGGAAATGGTCCCGCCAAAAAAAAAAAAAGAGAAAAGAAAAAAAAAAACAAATGCCCCGTGCGCAAGGACGACCCTCATAAATTGAGAAATGGTCCCGCCAAAAAAGAAGAAAGAAAAACCTATGCTTGAGAAACTGACAACGACTCGATTGAGTTTTCTAGCAAAAAAAGAAAAAGGTTTTCTAGCAACGCAACAGTTCACCAATGCTTGGCACATCAACAACAATTCGAAGGTGGGTGGGGACAGTGCTGAAGTTCGGCCATGCACCGGGGAAAACTATCACGTCGAATTTTTGTCTTTATTTTTGTTGTTTTTTTGTTTTTTTGGAGGGGGGGTGGGGCGGGGAAGAGGTGGGGGGGCGCGCTAAGGGTTAAGAAATTCTTAGTTTTAAGGGGTGGGTGGGGACAGTGCAGAAGTTCGGCCATGCACCCGGGAAAACTATGACGTCGAATTTTTGTCCTTTTTTTTTTTTTTTTTGWTTTTTTGRGGGGGGGGGAAGRGGSGGGGGGGGGGGSCGCGCTAAGGTTTTTTTTTTTTTTAATTTTAATTGCATCCAGCTCTGCTGAGAATGAAGGAATATTTCTAAGGAGCTCCACTATGTACATGGATTGCCGCGGGTTTTTTTTGTTTCTAGGGCTGGGCACCCTTTCCGGGCAGCGTTGAGCTTCCTCAACGCCCGAATCTGGACGTGTTCGTGGAGATGTGCGGTTGAGAAAACTCTTAGCGATTTCTGCACATATACACATACATGTCCAGATTCAGGCGTTGAGGAAACTCAACGCTGCTAGTGGGACCTGGCCCCCGGTTATTTTACCCAAAGCCGGTCAGTTAGATGATGATAAAGACAACCGTCACCCGTACTCAAAAAAAAAAAAAAGGAAAAAAAACGAAAAAGGTAAAGAACAAGGAGAAACCCACTGGAGGTGGTGAATTGACAACTGGCAAACAATATCCGAAATTCAATTATAATAAAGAACAGAAGAACTTTAAGAAAGGTTAATTTCCTTCGCGTTTTATTTCTCCCTCTATCCGTTTCCCGTTTGTGGCGGAGTTCATATCTATAATTCACGAGTAATATGTGGATGGGTGTATCATTCAGCCACACGGGCTCGATGTTTACCTTAACTATTGATATTAATAAATATGAATATTAATATTATTTGAGTTGCGAGACATTTCCCTTTTTAATAATGAATAGAACACGTGTATAATTCGATAAAGGGAAAGGAACGTTGGTAAAGATCAAGTCGCAGCCGTTGATTCATCGGAGTATTTACATGATATTAAAATAAAAAAGTGTTGATATAGTTGGAGCCCTTGATTCATCGAGGGCCTGGATCTTTCCATTCTGCAAGCCTTAACAAGAACTTTGCCCCCCTCACTCTCATAAGCTTAAAAAGGAACACAAGGACCGGTTTAAATTAAAAATAAAAAAAGAAGGGAAAAAGAAAAGAAAAAAAAGAGAAAGAAAGAAAGAAATGTGTTGTGAATTCGTTTCGATTGCCCTTTTTCTGAAGACAAATCAGAATTTCAGGTTTTGGATGCCGCACCGTGCCTTCAAGTCGTACGGGGGCACGGTTCCACTAGCACAGGAGTTGTGTAAAATGTCCGCAAAAAACACCTGTGAGGCAACTGGGGGAAATCGCCTGAGACGAGAAAATGAAGTACTCGAAGGGGTTGGTATTGACCTCCCTTTTTTTTTTCCGGGTCTATTGCAACCCATTGAGTACTTCATTTTTGGCGCAGAATACAAGACAAGAATGTGCACGCTTCAGTATGGCAAACCGTTACTTCAGTGTACCTATCCGGCGCACAAAGGGTCTTGGTCACAGCAATCGTTGGGTAGAGCTTCTATCCCAACAGCGCAGTGAAGCAATGAATCGAGATGAGAGGCCGAAGGAAAGAAAAAATAAAAGAAAAGATTCGACGGTTGTCTCCCAGGGATCAGGACCGTTGTTTTCCTGGGATCGGGACGGTTGGTTCCCTGCCTGGGATCGGGATCGGGACGCCACCAGTTGTGCTCTCCACGGTTCCACTATATTTTTCAATGATTCAGAAGAGCAATTGCGCCCGAGTCTGTCTCTTTCTCTTTGGCAACGAGTCTTCGCCGTCTTCTGCGTCGAACTCCTGAAAAAACATGCTCCCGTCTGTCCGCCCTCTCTGGCGAGTCTCGGTGTGGTGGCGTTCAAAAAAAAACGGGTCGTCTTGACGAGTTTGCGTGGTGCGTGATGATGATTGGTTTTGAGTCTCTCGGCGGCACAGCACTGGCACCACGTGCGCATTGGAACGGAAGTGCCGGAAGAACTTTATGTGAACTAGACACATTGCTATCCTTCACAGCACTGCGTTGTGCATGCAGGTGCATGCATGCGATATGCAATCAACGAATGCTTCGCCCACATTTCTGAATGTGATCGAGTGACACATGAAAACGCACGTGCACGCCGCGATGGAGCTCAGAGAAGGGGGGGTGGGGGGAAGAAACATCTGCCACGTGGTCGATCATGATGATCATAGTCGCATGCTATCCTTCACAGCACTGCGGTTGTGCATGCATGCATGCGATATGCGATCGACGAATGCTTCGCCCACATTTCTGAATGTGATAGAGTGACACATGCAAATGTACGTGCAAGATGGGAACTAACGCATGCACGACGTGGACTGACACATGCAAACGCACGTGCATGTCCGCGATGGAGCTCAGAGGAGGGCGGGGGAAAGAAACAACTGCCACGTGGTCGATCATGATGAACATATCGCATGCAAACCGACGTAGAGCACGTCCAACAAGATAATGTCTATTTTTAGGTCATATTCTTACTCGTTTGTCGCTGTTATCTGCATGCGATCGCAACCGTCGAACGTGCGATCGTGATCGTCGAAGGTTTGATGTGCATGTGATCTTGATCGAGCGGGGTAGGGGAAAGCATCACGTGGTTCACGTCCACGTGATCCCTTGATGACGTCAATGCGAAGCGAGTCTTTCCGGTCGGACCATGCTATTTTTTTGTCGCGACGTTTTGAGGACGTCGCTACCGAAATGTCAGAGGGAGGGAACATCTGACACGAGCCTGTGGGAAGCTGTCAGGGGGAAGCACCTGTCTGCAATCCTGACCAGGTGCAAAAACCTGTGAAAACAGGACCGTTCAAGTTCTGGTGGACATCTTTGTGTGCCCTGAGAGGTAACAACCGACAGCTGCCGTTGCCGTTGTCGTCAACACGTGCTCAGATCTGCCGACAGGTCGTGAAACCAACAAGTACACCTTTTTTCAGGGTCTCTTTTTTTTCTTCTTCTGTTTTTATTTTCCGGCTATTCTCTCCTCGTGCTTCCGGCGACCCCCTTCGCATTGCTGTTGATGTCAACACCTGAAGCCCGTTGGTTCAATGCTGCAACACACATGTAGCTGCGGATGGGCACATGCCATGGAACTGCAGATCGGCAGGTCGAGGGCTCAAAACTTGGCCGGGAGGAGGGGGCGGGGGGGGAAGACGGTAGTATACAGAGACTGCTGAGAGTAATAATGACCGAATGATAGTGAGGAGCAAGAGGAGCATGGCGCCTGCTGCGGAAGGATGACAGGTACGAATGGAGAAAGGGGCAAAAGGGGTTAAAGTGAACCAGAAGAAAAAAAGAATAGGGGGAAAAAAAGAAAAAGAGAGTGAGCTGGGAACTTGTATAACACCTGATGTGGCCCTCCATGACTATTGTCTCCACCTAAAGATAGGTTCGAGAAGGGGGTTGGGTTGGATAGGGACCGGTTAGAGCTAACTCACATCTGTTTTTTGTGGAGGCAGGCTGGGTTGAGAAGGGTTTTTCGTTGTGTGGGGACCACTCCACGTACGGGGGACGACCCATGGACCTTGGCCCACGACTATTGCTTGTAGAGCCAGTTTGGGCTGAGAAAGGGTTTAGGTTACGCAGGGACTGGTTCTGACGGATGACCCGCAGCTCTTGCTTAAAGAAACTATACCTTGGGAAAGATCCTACCTTCTGCCTGAGGCCCAAAAAGGGCCCCAAAGTCTTTAAAGGGTGGAGTTTTTTAGGCCGCCTGATCTTGATGATCTGATGGTGGGTCAAGATCAGATCTTCGAGATAAGGCGGCCCTTTCAGGACTTTGGGGCTCTTTTTGGGCTAGTAGGCTTGACCTTCCTTTCAGGACTTTGGGGCTCTTTTTGGGCTAGTAGGCTTGACCTCGGGCGTTCCGCGGCTTGTTGCAGAGTAATCTTGTTGCTGGCTTTTGTGATCGATCAAAATAATTGATGAAAAATATTTAGTAAATTTTAAAAGAAATTGAAAATGAAAGTGAAAAGTGCTGCGTGCTGAGGAAGTGGTGGCAGTGAAACAATGCATTTCTTTCTCCCTGCTGCGACCGGTGGGGTCTAGGGGTGTTTTGGCGCAGTGGGCCAGGTCCTGAAATAAAAGTACCAAATCATTCGAAAAATGGTGGGGGGACAGTAGGGGTTTAGACCAGCAGTGCTTGGCCCAGCCATTTTTTCGTGGTGGGTAACCTTTGAGTTTTGGGGGTCTGCCTACCATAACACAACTCAATGACTGGCGGCACCAGCCAAAGAAGCCTGCCTGCCGTTTTGGGTTTGTGTTGTGTTTTTCTGTGGGGAGGGTGATTCTGGGCTCGGCAGAGGCAGAGGTAGGGCCAATAGCACCCAGTCTGGTGGTTTAAAATGCCCCATGCGGACTGAGGTGGTGGTTTTTGCAGCTAAGCCCTGCCGGCACATCTGTTGAAACGCTAACTTTCAGGTCTCAACCTACCGAAAGCAAAAGGTGGCGGCAGCACCAGCCAAAAAAAAAAAACAACTCGATTGCTCGCCAGTACCTGTTCAGCAGAAATCGGCATCGGCATCGGCGTGCATCAGGGAAACGAGGCCCGGAAATACTGGCGATCCAGGTAAATAAGTGGTTTTAAGGTGTGGTAGATGTAGGGGCTGTCTCTTATACACATCTAGATGTGTATAAGAGACAGGTTTTAAGGTGTGGTAGATGTAGGGGACCAGGTGTAGTGTTTATTTGCCAGGTTGGTTTTTGCGGGTTGCAGTTGTCCTGGGACCGGGCATTGCTTTTTTGAATCGAAGGAGCCGCAAAATTGTAGGACTACCCAAAAAAAAAAGGAAGGAAACCGTTGCTAGTTGCTGCGGTTGAGGCTTAGGACCTCATGTGATTTTGCCATTTTTCCAAATCACTTGACATGTGGCCGACAGATGTTCTGCGACTGATGCCTCAATGAGGTTTTCTCACCCGATATTTTTTTGAGATTGGGTGGCTTGGAGCTCCCCGGCCCGCTCTCCCTCTTTGAAATGGTCGAATGTTTGGGATGTGGGGTCTTTTCAGCTCTGCCGTCTTCACCTGAATAGAATGTCCGGTCATTATAGCCGTATTTGGTGCAGTTTGCAGTTCAGATACAGATATAATGACCGGGTGTTCTATTTGGGTGAAGACGGTAGTTTGAAGTTTCAGCCGAAATATACGAGGCTCTAATATGAGGCTGCAGTTCACAGAAGGGGGGGCACCAGTGTTGCCTTTGCTTCCAGTTCCAACTAGGGGGATGGAGCCTGATGGCAGTGAGGGGCAGTGAGGGCTGGGCTTGCAATCCATTTCTCCTGATTCCTGATGACATGCGGCCTGCCTTTCATCTTGTGCTGACTCTGCAAACCTCAAGGGACTATGCTGACTATGCTGATTAATGAATCTTGTCTGTGTAGATCCCCTTCTATCAGATCTCGTGGGGCCGCATTGGGCAGGGCCCCACTAAGCAAAAAGACTTGGATTTATGGCCTGAATCTGGATCTGCTTGTGGAGAGGTGCAGAAAATCACATTATAATTGTTGATCTGCTTGTCTGCATCTCTGCATATAATGGAGCCGGATTCAAGAGCTTAATTCAATGTTCTTTGCTACCGGTAGTGTGACCTTGCCTGGAGTGCTGGACCTTTTATGAACTGTGATCCTCAGGCTGAACCAGAGTATAGAGATTGAGAGAGACTTTTCTTCGATTGACCTGGCAGTGGGGTAGAAAGAGGACAGGTGGACTGAATTTTTAATGAGGAATAAAAATACTCTTTTTCACCTAATTAGTAATTACTAATTAAATTAGGTTTTGAGCAATGAATAGAGTACTGTTTTTCACGGAGTGTTCATTAGCCTAGTTTCGAACAATGAATATTGATTTTTTTTTTTGTTTTTTTAACCAAGGAGAAAGATGATGGATCGATAGCCGGTATCACATATCGTATCCTGATACAGCAACCTCCCCTCCCTTTAGGTAGGCTACCGTCTGTTGAACACAATGTGCCCTCATTAAGACTGCATTTAACTGGGAAGATGGATTGTATACATCCAGAATCAGGGTGCGTTATGTTCCCATGAAGACGGTGATAGTAAGAAGGTACAGTCAACGTACCCCGTGCTGGACGGATTGAAAATTTTGGAATGAAGGAAAAGGAAGAGATATATAATGTACTTGGAAGAAAGATATCTTAGTGTGTTGATTGTGTTTGGGAAAAAAGGAAAGGATTAGTGTGTTGATTGTGTTTGGGAAAAAAGGGAAGATGTGTATTATTTGTCGTTCGGGAAAAAAGGGAAGATGTGTATTATTTGTTGGACGGATGCGGTGAGGTGGGCAGGTGACAGTCGCCGGGTATCATGGTGACATGACTTGTCTTGTCTCTTGGTGTGGCTATGGTGTCCAGGGTCCCGACTGACTGTGAAGCTGCCACGTGGAGTCTCCACAGGGAGGAAGAACTTGCAGTCTTGGCAGCCAAGCAGATCCCTCGCCAGGAGGGGGGGTTCAGCATCTGGTCGGACAAAGGGTCCAAGAGCATCTCTTGAGCCCTCGTCATCCTCACCGTCATCACGGCCAACTGCCACTTCGGAATCATCAGCAGCAGTCGCGGCAGCAGATGATGACGTGGCAGCTCAGCAGGAAATGGATGAGGTGGTAGTAGACTGGGATGAGTTGAAGGAAGAGGATGAGGAGGAAGTGGATGAGGTTTTTGACATTAAGGAAGAGGCGGAGGAGATTGCAGAGAGAATCAAGGTGGGATAGCTCTATGTCATGTCTCTGTGACTGTATGTATCCATATATATATATAGCCTCCTGATGAGTTGGTGAAACTTTGACGAAACAGTTTGTCACAGCCCCTCCTCGTTTGTTGTCCTCTTCTCCCTCCCCTCCCTCTCTGCCTACGGTTCTCTGTGTGATGATATATATACGTATATATGCACGTATAAAGTTATAACATAAGTCTGTCACAGCCCCTCGTCTGTTCTCCTCTTCTCCCTCTCTGCCTGCAGCCCACTGCGCATTTCTCTGTGATGAGTCGGTGAAACTCCGACGAAACAGTTTGTCACAGCCCCTCGTTTGTTGTCCTCTTCTCTCTCTCTGCCTACGGTTTACCGGGCAGTTCTATTTGTGACGATATATATCTGTTTGTGACGATATATATATATATTGTGACGATATATATACGATATATATATTTTGTATTACTGTAAATGTCTTACAGTTAGCTTTGGTTGCCACCTTCTTATGCATCATGCGACGCCAGGCAATGACCTCAATGACCATCCTCATATTTCTGCCTGTATGTTACACAGACCCGGGCATTATATGGCACTCATTGGTGCAGCTGCCCAGTGGGAACTGTGGGATGGTGGGATGATGATTCAGGCTATTTCCAACGTAAACGAGTTTTTGGGTGCATTGCCGAATCACACTTTATTCTGGATTATTGACCGACTCTCGTGTGACACCTGTCGGGGCAGAGACGCGGTGCGTCTTGGTTGTGGCATTCATCATCTATTCCATCACCATTATCAACTATTGCAGCTGCCGCAGTCTGTGCCAAAGGGTGTCCAACATTCCCTCATTGTACTCATCCCTATCACCCAGACATTCGTTGTCCCTTTTGTGAGCAAGGACGCTATCAGAACTGCATGATGCTGCACTGTGATGAACGTCCTGCTGTTTTCTTGACATGTGGACAGCATGTCCTTTGTCAGGACTGCTTTGATGGCCTGGTCCGTGCTAGCCGTCCTGCTGAATGCTGTGCTGGCGCAGCTCTCCTTGGGTATCCTTGTGAACATCCACGCCACCCTCAGCGTGCCTGTCCTATCTGACGGGGATGGGGGGTCCTCTTCCTAACAGGTCTCAATAGAATCAAGCAGGTCGGGAGCAACACTGATTATAGGACATATAAAGCTTTCGATATTTGGAAAAATGAAAAGAAAAAAAGAAAAAAAGAAAAAAAAATCGAAAAAAAAGAAACAAGAAAATATGGAAAAATATAAAATATGTTTAACTTTGTTGTGACAGTGGCAATTGGTTTATCTGAGGAATGTGTCACTTGCTTTGCTAGGCTAATATGCTTGGTTTCCTCCTTTTCTTTACCTCTTCCTCCTTTTCTTTACCTCTTTGCTTTTTGGCTGCGTGCAAGTGGGTCCTTGTGACACACGGGGATGGGGGCAGCCAGCGCTCAACCTGTCATCCACGTGGCTGGCCTTGTACGTAAGAGGTGATGAACAGGTGGGGCTTTCCTTCTTTTCCTTCCCTTGTTTTGCTTTTTTCTGCCTTTGCGCTCCGATTCCCAGTGTGCAATGGCTGGATTTGGTGCGATTTTGAAGTGCAAACGAGAAATGGTGGTTGTGATTTGGTTTTGAATTTCAGGCTGTGAAAAATAGCCATCGAATTTGCTGATGTATGTCGACTACTTTATACGGAGAGGCAGAGGCAGACGAGTGGCCACTAATGCTGATTTCTTTCATACCATCTGTGTATCTGGCTATTGGGCTATTGTACTATTGGCTATATTGGGGCTATTGGGCTTTATTGGGGCTATTGGCAGAGGAGTGTCCGCTAGTCCGCTAATGCTGATTGTTTTTGTACGATCTCTGTATCTGGCTATTGGGGCTATTGGGCTTTATCGGGGGATTGGCAGAGGAGTGTCCGCTAATGCTGATTTTTTTTGTACGACCTCTGTATCTGGTTATTGGGCTATTGGCTATTCGGGCTATTTGGGCTGTTGAGCTGTTTGGCTATTGGGCTATTGGGGCTATTGGGCTATTGGGCTATTGGTTGTTGAGCTATTGTGTTGTCGGTGAATCCGATTCTCAGGCTTTGAAAGAGGAGAATGTAAAGCTGAGGAAGAAGGTCGAAAAGCGAACAGAACCCCTATTCCAACCCCCAAGGCCAGTTCCGCATCCCGGTGACGGCCAGGGAATCTACGGAAGTGACCCCATGCTAAGTAACTTCCGGAGCCATCTTGAGTATCGGTAAGTTACCTTCTTTTTTTTTTTTTTTTTTCCCATCTCCTCTGGGGTAGTTACCTTCTTTTTTTTTTTTTTTTTTCCCATCTCCTCTGGGGTATTTGGATATTGTTTTGTCAATCTTTTTTAGCATTGCTGCTGAATGGTCTAAGGAGCAGGCAGGAGGAAAGAGGGAGAGCTTTCCTGGGGGGGACTGTGGAAGGTGGGGGCCATTCTACCCCTTTCAGCAGGGGGTTGAAAGCTAACCCCCCACCCCCACCCCCACCCCCCACCCCCCTTTTTACTCTTCCGGAGGAGTCGTGATGTTAGTGAAACTTTGGCTACTCCTGCTCAAGGGGGTTAATTGTAGTTGTTGGGAAGGGGGGGGGGGGGGGGGGGGGTACATGATTATGCAGGAGGAATGTCATTGAGGAGGAGGGGAGGGGGTTGATTTTATGCATGATTGCCATTCTAGAGTTTGTGCAGACGATGTCGATGAAATCGCTGATTGGTTCTGGTATTCATTGAAATTGGAATGATATGCAGGAAACTACCAGAAGAGGACAAAAAGAAGAAAGAAATCTCTAATTGTTATGTAAATGATGTATGTATGTGCTCTGCTATAAGAAGAGGACAAAACGAACAAAGAAATCTCTAATTGTTATGTAAATGATGTATGTATGTGCTCTGCTATACCGATTGGAATGCAGGTTTCAGCGGTACAGGGAAATGAGAGACATGATTGACAAATGTGAAGGGGGCTTGGAGGCCTTCTCCAGAGGGTACGAGAAGTTGGGCTTCACCCGTAGGTAAGTGTGTAATGTAAGGATCCTTGGGAAAAGGGGGGTCCGGAAGAGAAGGGTGGAGGGACGGGAGAGGGGGTTGGGGGGGGGGAGAGGGAAATGGTGGGGGTAGGGTTGCGGGTGGCGAGTGAAACAGCTACCGTGGGTTGGGGAAAGGATGAATTGAGGGAACAATGGTGTGAGGTAAAAGAATTGAGAGCAGAATATAGCATAGTCCGAAAAAGGAAAGTTGACAATGATATTGAATAAATTATATTTAATTAATAATAAATGGACTGCCTTCTTCCCAGAAAAGAACGGGGGCAGGACCAGAAGGCCCTGGTAATAAAAAGAAGTTGGGACAGGGACCGGGATCACAAAGGTGGGACAGGGACCGGGATGACAGAGGTGGGACAAGGATGGGGAAGACAGAGGTGGGACAGTGACCGGGATGACAAAGGTGGGACAGGGACTGGAGGGACCGGGAGAGAATGTGGTTTGGGTTGTGCCGGGTGGGCAGAGGTGGGACAGGGACTGAGATCACAAAGGTGGGACAGGGACCGGACAGGGACCAGGATGGGCAGAGGTGGGGCAGTGACCGGGTGGGCAGAGGTGGGACAGGGACTGGGCAGTGACCAGGTGGGCAGAGGTGGGACAGGGACTGGGCAGTGACCGGGTGGGCAGATGTGGGACAGGGACTGGGCAGTGACCGGGTGGGCAGAGGTGGGACAGGGACTGGGCAGTGACCGGGTGGGCAGAGGTGGGACAGGGACTGGG